AAGTTACGGATCGAGTGCATTGAAATAGAAGCAGAAACAAACCCAAATCGTAAGAGACAATAGACCATGTACATGTATGTAAGAAATCCATTGATGATTATTGAATTATCTTCTTCTGAACTTTATGTTTTCTGTATTTTATTACTAAGTATTGTAATAAATATAATAAAACATACCCTTTTCCAAATCACATCCTGTATCAGCCCTCGACTAATATCAGCCCTCGGGCCTTCGGCCCTCTGGCTGATATTGGTTTCTCGGGCTGATACAGAATGTGATATGGAAAAGGGTATGTATTATTCTCTATATATTGAAACTTCAGATTTGTTCTGTAAATAATGAATAAACATAACTCAATTATTGCTTCTTAATTATTCTTGAAAAAAACTTTGATTTAATTTTTTTTAACACGTGTCTTCATTTCTGGCGATGACTCAATATGTGCGTACCTGATAGATTCGAGATCAAAACAATCCCGTCTTTTGACTTCACCGTATGCCTAGGGTTTATGAGGAGAGTAGGCGTATCAGAAACCTTTGGCTAGCGAAGATGGATATTAAATACCTTGAATTTTTTCAATACTTCGTTTGCACAAAAATATTAAAGTAAATTTTTATTAAGCCTTCCATTTTCACTTTCTTTATGTATTAAGTTTTTGTACATCTTCTTGGGTTTTAAAGATATTCTTTTCTGAAATAGGCATTATTTGCACACTATACAAAATTACACCTCAAGTACTTTATCCCTGGCCATATGAAATCAAAGTACTGAAAGCACTCATGGGAGTTGAACGTGGTGTTAAATAAAATCTTTGATCGGGAGGTTAAGTGAGTGAACAATATCATTATTTCAAATACAGACAACTGTTTCAGATTTTTTGAGTTGCAAAAATCTTGAGAAAGACATTCAGAGACATTGAATAGCAAAACAATGCAGGGGCCACATTGTTGCCTGCCTACATTAGTCCTTTTTATACCCCCCTGCTTGAAAAGCGGGAGGGTATTCATTAATCTGGATTTCCTTCTATCTGTTTGTTACGCTTTAGGTATACACCCATCTCTTATCCGCAACTCCTCTTACACCGCTGAACGAAATTTTCATAGAATCTTTACTACATATTGCTGTTTTGCACCTTCTATTACTTTTCCATCCTACACATATTTTGGGTTTCCCATTGCAAAATCATGGACACTGCCATTATATTCATATTAGAGGCGGTTGATCATTTATATAATTCACTGCTCACAGTCTTGAAATTTGTAATATATTTTTCCTTGGCACCTTTACCCATGTGTTATGAAAATTTCAGTTTCGCAGGAATAATATCAATGTTGATAAAATGTGGATTTTAACACAGCATCCAATTAAGAGCTTACAGGTTTGTTATATATAAAACCTCTCTGTGAATATAAATGTATTTCAATTACACGAACATTATACATGGAGTATACGTCAGAACTTAATCTTTTTTAATATTGTGAAGAAAAAAGCAATACTAAGGTTAAAACAAATACTTAATGACCAAATATAAAAACAGTGGTATCTGTGAGAGTTTGTGTGCGTACGAGTTACCTGGTATGTAAATGAGGTTTTCGTTTTATTAAAAAAAACTTCATTTTGTTGTTTTTACGAAATGATTTTACGAAAACATCAGTGTCCATTTTTTGGTTTTAACATTTATAACAGAGTACTAGATTTACCGCTTTTGGCAGGTGATACTGCTGATTTAGTATTAAATACGCATGCTTCCTAAAGTTTTAATGCATTAATGAATTCATTTCAACCAAGAAAATGTTCATGAAAAGCTTCAATTAATTCTGTGCACCGGTAAAAAAGAAATTACTAAAAATCGGGGACCGTCGGGCGTCCGGACGACTAGCTTTACCGCTTGCTGTTAGTATGTAGAGTTGTCGATCGTATCTTTTTCAGTGTATGACGCCACACACAAAAAAAGTTCCATTACGAAAATCTTTTGAGGTTCTTTATAATTTAGTTTTACTTTGAACGAAATCTAATATTCAAAATAAGATTACTTTATCATTATTACATTGACTTACATTTCAAATTATGAAAATTAGATCAATTCAGGAGAAAATGACATGAACTATTTGTGGCGGATGTTTATGCATATTTTCTGTTGAATATCATCGGAGTAAATCAGCAGACACAGTAGCCTCGCTTTCGGCTCTATATAATCAACACAAATTACTGCGCATGTTAAATACGTGATGACCATGGAAGATTGAACATAGTTCAAATCTCAAAAAGAAGAATTATAACAAAATCAACTGTTTATATTCATTTTAGACCCAATTTTATTGAATTTGAAGATTATCGATGAATCACCCTTTCTGTACTATCTGCACGATTTTACACGGAGCGGTACTTAACACTCTTAGGAAAGACATCAGCAAAATTTTAATGTAAATATTTTTGCTGAGCAGCCTGTATCATAAAATCTCCAACCCAAACTAAAATATGTACATGATGTAATATTATATGAATGGTGCCTGTTTGGAGGGTAACAGTTGAAATTGACACCCCAAGAAAAACCATTGTCAACTGAAGCGTCAGCGGAGGTTGACAATGGTTTTCCAAGGGGTGGCAATTTTCAACTGTTACCCTCCAAAACAGGCACCATTTATTTTATTAAACTGAATGTCTTCTTAAATTAAGTCAGCAAAACAAATTGTCGATCATCTTTACATTCACGTTTAGAAAGCTTTCAAACTCCTCGCTACTTCTAAAAAAGATTTACTGACCTTTTTATTGTTTGTTTGATACTCTAAGAGTCAAGTTCCGTTATGTTTTGTCTGTTGCTTGTTGTTTTCAAGTACGTCACATCGGACGCAAGCTTTTATTGACGTTTCTTCCAGTTCTTTCAAACGCGCAACTGACATTATGAGAATTCTACGGTGAACCGTACGCGCATAATATACACGCATGTGGCATTACCGTTGTGTTATCCATTGTCACATGCGTTGCTAAGGATGAGGGTATTAGAACGGATTGTTAACTGCGTCTAAACCCATCAGATTTTAGTATTTAACATGAAAGTATAATAAAAAAAACGTGAAGATGATCGAGAGGGTGACATTACTGCGTCCGTGGGGGAGACATAAATGTTTCTGGCATGTCATATAACTGCTTCTGGTGTGATTCAGCATTTTTCAGGGTTTATAGCGAAACTTATTACATTTGTGACATAATAGGAATACTTATTTAAAAATGTAATGGGCCTATAACATTCTATCTAATCTATCAGTAAATCCCCAGGCCCCAGGATTATGAGGCATCTTTAGGCCTTATGGCTATTCCAGTTGACGCCATTTTATATAAAAATAGTAGCCTACCGGATGATACCCAGTAGATATTTTGATTATTTTAGCTCGAATTTGTTACGTAAAGTAAACCTTGATATGAAACGGGATATAGTTGGTTCTTTGCAATGACAATTGTAAGTAACTGATTAAGGACAGACGGGACGTTCCTCAATAATATATAATTTTTTTCCGAGATTTTGTCATTGAAGAAGAACTACTTTAACATGTTTACTCGCAAAAAATCCAGGTATCTTACCAGGCATTTGTGTGAGATACCAGAGGTTGACGTGTCTTATATAATCCTTTAGGAAAAATACTTAGTTTGTCAAAATCACATTTTTAGTGCTTCAGATTTTCAAAAGCAAATAAACACTGGTTTAAAAAACAGAAAGTAATAAGGACTTTGTATAATTTTCATAAATAATGAAGATGTAAAGAACAGATATTTAGGGAACGTATCGTCTGACCTTAAGTAAGTAACAAAATGGTTTTCTTATATATTATTTAACTTAAGGTTCATAAAAATTTATTTTGTTAAAGATTTTTTGAAGGAAATGTAATCTCAATGAAAAATATAGCATATGTAATATTTTTATGTATTGATTGAATTTCTAGCGATCCCTAAGAAGTAAAACTTTCTAACGATTGTATACACAACTTATGATTTCTTCATGAATAAGCAGTTTCTCTAGAGATAAGCACAAATTTGCACAATTTTTTAATACAATCTATAACTTTATAGGGATCGGAGACATGTTTTGTCATGTTGTTATTCATGTAGAATAAAGAATTGCAAGTTAGTAAAAGGGAATATATTTAATGCATGTTTGACTAATAATCATATATTTCCTATTTTAAAAATATAAATATCATTCAAAGCATGAAATTAGTCATTTAGATCTTTGTTTTATTTCAATCATGCTCGAAGTACATCTCGGAGTTGTCTTCCTTGATTTACTCTCCTGGGTGTCAGAACTTGTATTGATTGGGTATTTGTGGGTATCAAAATTGACTTTATTCTGCATAATTTCATAAAAAGGATGCTTATTCCTTTCATCTTCTGGACCTAACTGCTCAGAAATCAAAAATTGATTGTTGAATTCTCGCTTGCAATTTTTAGGTGGAATAGCTAGGCTTTAATCAAAATCTAGCTATTATTCTTCATGTTTTACTTAGACTTTGTGCTGTTATTTGCAAATTGTGAAATTTCATCAATTAATTAAGATTGATCCTGGTCTGCTAAATGGCTGTGTGATGCGTACAGTGTGTGTGTCTGTCTGTGTCTGTGTTTGTCACTCTCACTTTCAGCTCCACCCTGGCTAGCAGCTTGCTGTGAAAGAGTAAGCAAAATATGTACGTCTTCTCTGCCAGGTATAGCCTATCCGCAGTTAGACCTATGTGGCCCAGATATGGGATCCTCCTCGAGGCAGCAGATGGAAATTGGGTACCTTGCGGCCACAAGCAGAACCACAGGGTCTTGGAGGAAACTAGGCCCCTAAATGCAAGGTATGCATGGACCAAAAGGGTTTGGATATGCCCTGATACCTGCAAACCTATTTCCCAGCTATGGCTAAAATATTTCCACTGCCTTGTGGACGGCTTGGGAAAGTCAAAGCCTGTGGAAGAAAATCCAGACAGAAAATCTAAGAAAACCTGGAGAGAATGGCTTCATGAGCTATGGCAGGCAACCATTCTAGAGGAAGGCAACCTCGATTACAAATCCGTGGTCCACCAAGTTGGAGGTTTAGCAAGGGGGTAATCTCCCCTTCTCGTGAAAACTGCATGGTTACGGATACGAGTACTAGGAGTATTTCATCCTTTCTCGAGGCATCAGAATACCAGCAGCCATCTGCGCGTATGAATGCAGCAAGTGAAAGCCAACAGGAAGATGGTCGCATGAGGAGTATACTGAGCACGAGAACCAAACTTAAGATCGGCTTCTGGAATGTCCTTACCATGTACGAGACAGGAAAGCAGGCTCAATTAGTCAGAGATCAAGAACAGCAAATTACACATACTAGGAGTAAGTGAATGCAGATGGACAGATTTTGGAAAGATCATGACAAACAGCGGTGAGATAATCATTTACTCAGGCAGAAAAAAATGGTAGACATCACGAGGGAGTAGCAATTAATCTGAGTAAAGCAGCAGCGAAGTCACTGATAGAGTACCATCCTGTAAATGAGAGAATGATGAGAGCAAGACTCGACACAAAGCCAATTAAAACATCCATCATACAAGTCTGCTCTCCTACTAATGAGGCAGAATATGAAACTAAGCAAGACTTCTACGAAGCACTACAGGCCGAACTTGAAAAGATTCCAAAACATGATTTAACCATCATCATGGGGGATTTTAATGCAAAAATAGGCCAAGACAACATTAGATATGATAGAGTCATGGGAAAATATGGCTGTGGTACCATGAATGAGAATGGTGAACATCTTGCAGAGTTTTGTGGTTACAACAACTTCGTTATAGGTGGGACGTTATTCCCACACAAGGACATACACAAGCTCACATGGATATCTCCCGGACGAAGAGGCAAAAATCAGATAGACCATATTGTTATAAATGGAAAATGGAGGCGATCTCTTCGGGATGTGAGAGTAAGACGAGGTGCAGATGTAGGCAGTGATCATCACCTTGTAACTGCAGATTTTAAACTTACACTGATGAAAACTATACCCAAGTACAGCTGGAAAAGATTCGATGTTGGCAAGCTTAGTGATACAAAAACCAAGCAAGATTTTAGATTAGAACTGAGAAACAGATTTTCTATCTTGCAAGCTAGTGATATAGACGAAGAGCAGATAGACGAACACTGGCTGAAAGTAAAAGATAAATTTAGCAATAGAAGTGAGAAAGTTATTGGCTTCAAAAAACAGATACACAAAGAATGGATAACACGAGGTACATGGAAACTCATTGACAGCAGAAAAGAACTAAAGAAGAGGTTGTGCAACACACACTCAGAAAGAATAAAAGAGAAATTAAGAGAACAATACTCTGACTGAACAAAGAAAGAAGGCCACAAAGAAAGACCATAAGAACTTCATTGAAAAATGGCACGAGAAGCTGAAAAAGCAGCATCAGAACAGAGAATGGGCGATGTTTATCAGATCACCAAGAAGCTTAGTGGACAAAGAAGAAATGCATGTATGCCAGTAAGAGACAAGCAGGGCGCAATGATTACATCTGAGAAAGAACAAAGATAGAAGGAGCAGATCAGATCCAAGCAACAGAACAGAAATACCTGAAGCAAACTTTGACTTAGATATCAACATAAATGGACCATCAAAATTAGAAATAATCACAGCAATCAAACGTTTAAAGAACAATAAAGCACCTGGGAATGACAACCTACCAGCTGAAATATTCAAAACAGACCCTATCCTTGCAGCAGATATCCTTCATCCTCTTTTCTGCAAGATTTGGAAGTACAACATAATACCAGCAACATGGTCTGAAGGTAGCATCATTAAACTACCAAAGAAAGAAGACCTCACAAACTGTTACAACTGGAGAGGTATTACTTTACTCTCTATACCAAGCAAGATATTTAGTAAAATAATTGTAAGCAAAATAAAGACAGCAGTGGATAAAAAGCTAAGGAAAGAACAGGCAGGCCTCAGAAGAGGAAAGAGCTGCTGTGACCAAGTATTTGTACTAAGAAACATAATAGAACAGTGCACAGAGTGGCAAAGGCAACTCATCATAAACTTCATTGAATTCGAAAAAGCTTTTGATAGCATTCACAGAGACAGTTTGTGGAAAATCCTGAGGCACTACGGTATACCATCTAAACTAGTTGACCTAATAAAAGCATTTTATGCAGAATTTAAATGCTCTGTTGGTAGATCATCAAACACAAGCTTTCTTGTTAAGTCAGGAGTGAGACAAGGATGTGTGAAGTCAGCTCTATTGTTCATCATAGCAGTAGACTGGGTAATGAGATTAACCCTTAGTGATGAGAATACCGGCATCAGATGGACTCTTTTCAACAAACTAGAGGACTTAGATTTTGCAGATGACCTGGCTTTATTATCTCATCTGGAAACACAAATGCAAAGAAAAACATCTAATTTACAAATAAATGCCAACAAAATCGGATTGAACATCAACATAAAGATAACAGAAGTAATGTCCCTAAATACAAAAAGCCCACCCAAAATACAATTGAATGGAGGAGATATCAAAAATACAGATTATTTTACATACCTGGGAAGTGTGGTAACATCAGATGGCGGAGCTGACAAGGACATAATATCATGATTAGGTAAAGCCAGAGGAGCCTTTGTCAAGCTTAAGAACATATGGAAGTCAATCAGTATTAGCAGACATACTAAGATCAAACTGTATAATAGCTGTGTCCTATCTCTTTTAATGTATGGTGCTGAATGCTGGAGGATGACTTAAAGTGACATTATGAAACTATCAAGTTTTCATAATGGGTGACTCAGAAAGATCTTGAGGATATGTTGGCCTGCAAAAATAACCAACAAAAATTTGTATGAAACAACTAAAACAACAGACATGAGGACTTTACTAGTAAAATACAGATGGAGGTGGATAGGCCATGTCTTGAGAAAGAGTGGCACTCAGATGGATCCCAGAAGGGAACAGTAGGAAAGGCCAACCAAGAATAACGTAAAGGCGAACAGTGGAGAAAGAGCTTAAGGAGATAAATCTCACCTGGGGAGAGGTGGAGAAGATTGCAAAGAATAGAGAGAAATGAAAATCCCTAGTCCTTGCCCTATGTGCCTCCGGGTGGAACAAGGACTAGGTAGGTAGGTAGGATACAGATAACAAACTCAGAAAATCAATGTAAGGGTTCCTCCTAATTCTACTCACTGACATAAAGATTTAGGAAAAACAATTTGTTCTATTTAGCCTAATGTCATTAATCAGAATGGAAATCCACAAGCTTTTTTGTAGAGAATAAAATCAAGCCCGTTCCTGTAGGTCAGATCCCTATCTATAATGAAGTGATCCTTTTCTTCCTTAGAAATGTAGCCACCATTGTTGTTTCATTTCATGATTTACACACTCGTCGATCCTCGGATGACTCGTACTTCGCGCATAATACGCAAGTTTCGAGATTATCTCCCTTGGTGCGCTCTTCCGTTGAAGAGGGGAGTTTCGTTGCTGCGTAAACAGGCAGGTGTGACAGTTATTTATATATTGAATACATTGCATCATCGATATACTGGTTTATCATAACTACATGCTTAAAAGAATGTTATTTACAACTCAAGAATAAGCAAATTAATGTAAACTTTTAAGACGTAATTTTTTAAAGCAAAGAAATCGTAAATAAAAAGAAAATATCAGTGAATGTGAGACTTTTCAGACGAGGCAACATATATGGACCTCTAATAAATACGGTACAAATACATCTGATCATCACACGTCGGCAATCTAAATGACACACCGATTCTCTACCTTACTATAAGGTCAAAACCCCCACTAACTGTTTAAGAGAAATGTTTGTACAATCAAGAAAATCGTTACTTTTGATAAGGACTACGGTGTTTCTTTCGTTTTTAGTACCCTATAATTGAAGTAAATTTGTAAATATGCATAATTGAGCTTGATAAAATCATCAAATGCATCACTGCTTAACATTATTATCTTTCTATAACATTTAGTAAATTTTTTAAAGCCATAAATATGATTTATTTATTTATTGTAGACAGAAACCTGTCCCACCTCTATACTGAAATGGATACTTTTCGCGCCTCTATCGTAGGAGAGTTACAATCTCGAAACTCGCGTATTGGAGCGTAGCGGAGTCCGCCGAGGTTTGCCAATTGTGATTTACAGGATGTGACATCATGCATGCGCCATGATTTTCATTCGACAGTGCCCAAGACATAAGGTGTGCTTGATTGTAAAGTCAGATTTCAAAGAGTCCCAAAACTTCTACCAATCAAGTGAAACTGGAATCGGAATTAGTTTACAATATGGCTGCAGCTCGAAAAATTAATAATGTCTTCTTATTAAATGATTTATTGTTATTATGTAACTTGGTCGTTTATATAACTGTTTAAAAAAATTTATTGTTAAAAAAAAGAATGTTTAAATTGTAAATTTTTGTATGTTGATCCCTCGGGGCCCTTGATTGGTAAATAAAATATCTTGTATCTTGTAATGGAGAGTGAAAGTGCTAATGAATGCTGTGAAGAACAGAATATCATGATGTTTGCTGTATGCAGCTCGTAGGTGAACTTAACAATTAACATGATTTGAATAATATTATGAGAACAATATTAATTCTAATTTGCAAATAGGTCTATAGGACTGTATTAGGGTCAAAATACAGGCATTGGCGTCGGAAGCAAATTGAAAGTGTTTGTGTGTGTGGGGGAGGGGGGGGGCAAAGTGTAAAAAAAAAAATTGTACCTTCAAAAAAACCTGACAATCCAAAAAAAGGAAATGTGCATTTTCCAAACGCAAAAATCCTATTTCGTGGGGGTGGGGTGATGGTGGTGGGAGGGGGGGGTAGGTTCGAACTTCAGTACCAAATTTTGTTTCCTATCCGTGGAAAGTGGGGGTGGCTAAACCTACGAAGATATGTTCAATGTCTATACTAAGTATATATTTGGAAAAAAAGTGCCCCCCCCCCCCGGTTCCGACGCCTATGCCACTATGCCAGGCAAAAAACTTCATACATGTTTTCATCAGCACTTTCGGCAAATGTACACAGTAGTTGCCATCTTTAATTCACCACCTCTCAACACAGGATTGATCACTCTCTACCATCGGCTCATACATTCACTGTCTGAGAGATGAACGAACAACAACTCTGCAATAGAAGATTGACTGCGCCGGAATTGAATTCCGCTGGAATTGCAATTCCGACAATTCCGAAATTTCAAGCTACCAATCATGCAAACCCATATTCTCTGAGAAGTCGATGGCTCGTTTCAATACTCTCCCTTAATAATATAATAGCAATTATTACCACTAATTTTTTTTAAAATATAATTGCATTCATTTGTGAATTTTAATGGGAATACAACAGCACAGTCTCCTGTCTCCATTCATTGTTCCTCCTTTAGCGTTTTAAGATCCATTTCTTAAACTTAAATTTTTGTATTTATATATAATTATACGGTTCCGTTTGAGACAGATATATCCATTAAACGTTAGACCTAGCCTAAATGTTCATGGATGCTCACTATCGTCCAACGAGATACAATACTGTCTGTTCCTTGTAATCCTTTTTACACTAGGTAATCAACAGATGAAACGTTAGAGAAAGGACCTGCATGAGATACGACCAACAGTAACGTTTCCTTCAAAGTAACACCACAAGAAACATATTGACGCAAGCGTCAAAAATCAGCCGCAAACCAATTTATATAACTGTTTTAGACTATGCCTAACACTCGTACCAATTTTCTCCGCACTTCAGTTAAATCAGAGTTTGTAAATCAGGACTGGGTGAAATATTTACCCCATTATTTATAAAATTTAATTTTATGATTATTGTGCTTTTTCTAAACGTTTAGACAATCTTTGTGTAATGTTGACTCGCCAGCGATATGAACATGATGAATGTTGAATATTTTTATTTAAGTTAACTCCGCAGAAACGCACAGCGACTTAAAACTTTTATAACCGACCGCGTCCTGGCGGCCGGTAATAAAACTTCCACTTTTCACAGTGTCAAATCCTAGATGCCCTTGATATTTTACATACCGAGCGAGCGGAATGCACCGAATAAGACGTAATTTCTGTCGACCAATCAAATTATCCCATTATTTTTAACATGGTCTTTCTCTTAAATAGCATAATGTAAAATCCCCCATGACAAATTTAGAAGTAGTCTGCTAAAAATAGCTACAAAATCGTCCGACTCTTGACCGTGTCCGACTCAGGATCACTTTACCCTATATTTTATTCAAAATATATATTAACAATGATAATCTATAAATATAAAATGATTGCCACCACGACAAAAGGTCCTGATGGCAATTTTTCTAGAACGTTCGAACTTCAGTACCAAAAT